GAGCAATGTAAAAACAGGATGTTGTTACAGCTCATTTCTCAAGGCTTTCGATTTGTAATAATTGAAAGTTTTCATGATTGTATTCTTGATCTGATGTACGCATGCATTTGTGTACGTGAAAATGAGCTTCGAAAATGATACAGGATCGGCGTTTGCAACCGAACCCGTCAACATCCATACGCTACTCAGCGGAACAGCACCACGACCATAGCATGCCAGGTAGGTATCCGGTGCAAATTCGTAACCATGTCGTTCGAATTCACCATGCCGGAAATTTTTCCCTGAAAAAAAATAGTGTTGCATTTTTGCCCACAAAATCGGTGGATAACCCTACAACAGTTCAATTTCCCTCCTCTTACTAGTCCTTAACACTTCGATCTACTTCTCTCCTGTCACTAATTTCTAATAGTTCCATCAAATTCTAAATAATTCCATATTACCTACCCTCTCACACTCACTAAATGCCTTACCCTCCTTTTCCCTTCATTAATTTTCCCTGTATAAATCCCTTCCTAAAACCCAGGCCCTTAGTTTTGGGGATCAACATGCGCCATTGATCCGCTACGCCCTGCCATAGCTAAGGCCACTAGCTGCTCGCCTCAACACTACCAGTGTCCTCCTTCTGCTGAACAGCTTGTGCGGTGCCCCGGCTCGTCGTTTTATTTGAAACGAAGCTCTTGTTGGAAAAATAAATTGCTGGTATTTTTCCTGTCTTTCGCTGCTGCAGTCAAGGACCACGTGAGGACCCAACAGGTATAAAGATCAATTGTATTAGCAGCAAAGCTATGAAGAAAATGCTGAATGTCTGGGTTGCAAAAGGAACAAGGTGCTAACAACAAGGAAACTTTATTCCACATAAACGGGGCAGAAACCCTCCTTCCCCCCTCCCTTCCCCTTATCCCCTCATTTCCAGAAAAAACCATCTCTACCCCTCAATGCGCCATTCCTTCCACTCTTTCATCATAAATTATGAAAAATAATAAACTAACCGGGTTCAAATTTCTCCTGGTTCGCCCCGTGTGCTGTAAATGCACTGCGTGTCACCTCACCATTCAGGACCGTGCAAGTACTATTGACCCAATGCCAACCTGAAAACAGTTTTAGTGCAGTAATTTCACCTTTTATGCTATTACGGCACATAGGCGGATTCAGGGAGGAGGGGAGGGGGGGGGGGGGGGGGG